CATTTCACTGTAAATATAAAAGTGATTCAGAAAGTTCTTGGAAAATTGGCTTCATTTTCATCCTTTAATTAGTCAAACTTGAACAATGTCAACAAAATTTTGGACTCAATTTTTGTTGCACCAAATGTCAACAAGAACCAGTTGATTTAACAGTTGCTTTAACAGTTGATTTAACCAGTTAACAGAATTGTTTTTTTTACTCGACAGTTTTGTTAATTAATACTAATCAAGCAACTCTTTTTTTTCACACCTTGTTTAGTCAATGTTAATGATTGACTCTTTTTTTTATCAACATTTGTTATTCATTACAAATGATTTGGATAATTTAATTACTTGCAGGATTTATCAGGACAAACAGTACATTTGGTTATTGGCTTGAACAGATAAACTTGCTTCATTTAACTTCAAGTCAATCCAATTAATTATGTTTCCCTGTAACACTGGATTCATTTCCTTGATGGATAATATCACCATTTAAGACATTCCCTGAATCTAACTGTAATCCTGACTTTAGGAAATGAACTCAATGTAACTCTTTCTCGCCATGTTTACCCAATGAAACAAAAAAACCAAGAAACCTTTTTGTTTGATTAACAATGAACAGTTAAAAGCGTATCCATTATCAACAGTCCATTCAATGTTATTCAAATGAGTGACATTTTGACATTTGTCACAGTTTGTAACATTTTAAAATGGTTCAAAGGCAGGGAAAATGATTCAGTGAAACTATGAAAGAGGGAAAAAAGTAAAATTGGATTAATAAAAAATCTTGAAATAACAGTGAAAAACACTTGGAAATGGGGAAAAATTTAGTCTTTATTTTGATATTGAACCACCAAGGGATCGCCATTCAACTAAAATGGAACTGGAACAATTCTTTTCATCATTATTTCATCTTTTCCATGTTCAACTGTTCCTCATCAGTCTAATGTTGACCAACACTGAGTTGCTATTGTTGTTTTGTTCACTTGAAAGCATTGAGTTTAACATCAATTTGAAGAGTTTTTACCTTAAATTGAATGAAAATTGGATAAAATATTTGACATTTATGTTTTACTTTTACAATTTACTTGCAATCAGATGATCACTTTCACAATTCATTCAACTGTTAAAGTCAATCAATTTAGTCTGTCAATTTAACCTTTGTCAAAGTGAAAGTTGAAATTTGACTGAAAAAGTGAAACGATTAAAAGTTGTATTTAGAAATGGAAAGTTAACCAAAAATCTTGAAATCCAAAGGCAAATCTTGCGTCTTGCTGCTTATCTAAAGGTTTCACTCTTTCCTCACCAATTTATTATCATTATCATTACCTTAAGCCTCTCATCAAATTATTGTTATCCTTTGGATCCTTTTGTAGTATCATGATGAGCAGATTTATTCAGGAAAACAAGGAAACACCATTTTAATAAGAGCAATAAAAGTAGACATAAGCAAACCCGAGAACAACATAATTTGACAATAATCCTTTGGGTCACAACTTGGCTAATGATATTAATACAGGGATTGTTAATCGACTTGATAAAATTGTAATAATAATGGTTATATTATCAATAAGCAAAACAATTTTCACCTCTTTTCCCTCTTTCAACAGTTAATGGTAACCATTATTACCTTTATCACCATCATTATCATCATCATTAATATTGGGAGAAGAGTCGACTTGGATTGAGTAAAGTAAAGGGATAAAGGATTGCAAATGTAAACTTTCATTTTGATTGAAATTAAAGGCGAAAGGGAAAAAAAGCTTTTAAAATGGAGTTATCAAGTTGCTATCAAATTGAAAGTGTTAAACCTCTAATTTTTCATGAAATTGATTGAGAAAAAATCTCAACTTCTTCTCTTGTCAAATGTTTCCTCAGTTTCACGATAAATGATCTTCTTAAGCCTTTATTTGCTCTTCTTTCATTCCTGTTCATGTTCATCCTTAGAAGGACAAAAAATGGTTGAAACCCTGTTCGATTCAAAACTGCTTCATTCAACTCCCAATCAACCTCCAAGCAATCAAAATGAAAGTATCTCAACTCGTTTTAAACCATTTTCATATCAAACCATTACTTTGAAACATTTTTCATCCAAACCTCTAAATGTCAACGGAATAGGAAACTAATCATTTCTTTGCTCTTCAGTTGAACAGTTTAACCTGGAAAGGGGCGCAAAGGGTAAATCAATTTGAATGAGAAGAGAAAAGAAGGAAAAAAACTTTAATTTTATGCTAATTTTCATTATTATTTTGATAAAAGCAAACAATCTTTTCATTGGGAATTAAAGGTTCATTTATCTTTATCAAAGTTGAGACTGAAATGGATCCAATTAGAGAGACAATTTATCATGGAATGAAACTCGAGTTGAGTTTCAATTTTAGAGGTTTTCACATTGGAACAAGCTAATTGTTTGTGTTTGATGACAAAGATGATCATTTAATGGGTTCTACATGATTATCGTGTTCAACTTGATTCTAATGGACTCTTGACTTTGAACAAACGGAAATTTAATATCAAATGTCGCTCGTTTTAAAGAGGAAATGTTTATTGAAATTGATCTCATCAAGAGCATTGAATCTTTCAAAATTTGAAATCTTTTTAGCTTCTAATTACTCTTATTGGTTCTCATTATGATTACCTGATTTAGGTTTGTTTAGGTTTTTTTTATTTGTGGGTAAACCAACTGTTTAGATGAAAAGAATTGGGTTAACCAATAATTGATGGTTTGTTATTAATCCCAATGAAACCTTCAATCACAATATGATTGTTAATTCCTTGATGAGAAGGACTGATTCAATTGAAATCCAATTAACCAACATTTTTTATCTCTCACTTAATACAACTCAATTACTTGTTATGCAAAAAAGGTTTAAAAATGGAAGGCAAATGAAAGGCAAATTCAATGGGAATGAGGGACAAGTTTATGACAAAAAGGCAATCAAATATGATCAGATATTGAAACAGATAATCAGTCTTGTCATAAAAGGGTTTACTTGTTAACTAATCAATCAACATTGACTTGCTCAACTTGAGCTTTTCCATGTAACTAAATATTCTCACTGTTGATGTCAAATTCAGTAGTAAATTGAATTAACATCTTCACCCTTTTTTTGTGCTTATATAACATTATCTGTTCGCATCCTTCATTCACTCGACATTTGTTTAGATTTTGTTTTCTTGTCTTTGGATTCATTGAAATGAGATTGTCACTTGCAAGTAAACAACAACAAAATGAGTTATTATTGTTGTTATTCATTTCTCTTTAACCTTCTATTAGATGTAAGGTAATAACAGAAGCACGTGCTAATGCATTGGGACTCAAGAAATGTGATAATCGAATGGATGAAGAACAAGGAAAGAGACCAACAAAGGGAAAGGGTTACTCGACTGTCCATCAATTGTCCTTCAATTGTCTCACTTTGGGTTTCACATTAAACCCAATCCACGGTCAATTTACTCTTCCATAGACTTTTGTTTCCTTTATCAACTCAACCTCATTACTTGAACTCATTTATTGAAATGGAATCGACCATTGGTCAGTCTATAGTTTCAAGTGCAATTAGTGGACATTTAAAGAGGGAAAGAGTTAAATGGGTGGAGAAAAGGGAGGAGAGAAGAAGGATTTTAACCTATTATTGAAGTTGACCAAATGAAACAAAAGCCTTTGAAATCCTTTTCCTTCTTGTTCAGTCTTTTCAACTGTTCATGTTGTGAGACACACGCAATAGCCAGTCATTCCCATGATGATAACAATGATTTAATGATGAACAACATCAAGAATTGACACACTTTGAGACCATTTGTAGGCTTGGATCCTCTTCAATCGTTGGTATAAACAGTGACCATCGACATTCTTAATCCCTGCTGATCAAAAACAGGATTAACCAAAGTGAATAACAATATTTTTCTGGGGTCAAGTTGTTTATTTGTTGTGAAAACAGTGAACTGAGAGGGTTAATTATGCTTGTTGTGCTTTATTCAGTTAGTTATTTTGAATAAACAATTACTTCCATTTGGTTAACGATACAATAAAGACTTAATCCAGATCAAATTGTCAAGTACTACATAATATTTTGATCATCTTGATCAGTTTAATTTTGTGGGTTTTGACTTTTTTTGTGTTATGTAAAAAGCTTATGGTCCATACTCAATAAATGGTCGAAAGGCTAGTCAACTAGTATTCAAAGTATCCATACAAAAGGATAATGTAAAGCAATTTGACTTTTGGTTATGAGGTTCGGAAGCAAAAGATTTAAATGGTTTTTTAACCCGAAATGATAACCAACAAATCACTGAGGGAAAAAAAACATTCATTGAATCAATAATCCATGACCAAAATGATAAAAACAAACAATCAAATTATTTTCACATAGAAAGAGGGTTAAATTGAGTTAATTGGTAATATTGAAATGTTATAATGTATTGCATGTAAATTAAAGTTGAAATTGTTTCAAGTTCAGTTACATCAATTCAGTTACAGTTATTCACTTTATTCATCAACAATAATAGTTGCAATAACCATAACAATCATAATAACAGCAATAAAAATAATGATAATAATAGTGAGGCCATTTCCTATGTAATAACATAAATCTGAGTTTCTGCCAATTTAAATTGAAGATGAAAAAGATGATGAAAATGAAGACAAAAGGACAAAGACCAGAGTCGATAAATTATGTGAAAGTGGCCTTAAGTTGACAATGATAATGATAATAAAAAAAAGTCAATGTTGTGGATCCAATGGGCTGGTAAAGTCCATAAAAAAATAAAGATTATTTGTGCTGGTTGAGAAGCCTTTTTTGCTGTGAAGACGACAATGAAAATAAAGGATGAATGGATGAGGAACAGGAATCAAGATGATCTTTTCTTTCGCTAATTAGTTTAATATTGAATGCAATTCCGTGTAACTAAGAAAAATTATAAAGAAAACAATTTGATCAGTTGAGCAGAACAATTTAGTATCCAAAGTGGTTGAATAGGAATTAGAAAATAGAAAAAAATCAAATTGAGATTTACAATTTTCAATGTAAAATTATTTTTGTTTATTGTTAGCAATATACGAGAAAAAAAATTATTAATCTAGAGATACAATGATTCTGGAGATCCCTCTTTCTTCCTGTACAAAACATTTTCCTTTGATTTTTTGAAATCTTCATTCGTTACTTTCATCCTTCTCTCTCGTAGTGCCATAAGACCGGCTTCGGTACAAATGGCTTTAATATCAGCTCCACTCAAATCGTCCTTTGACAAAACGATTTCATCAAAATTGACGTCTTCTGCTAAGGTCATCCTTGAGGTATGAATGGTAAATATCCTTCTTTTGGTCTTTTCATCTGGAAGGGGGAATTCAATTTTACGATCGATACGACCAGGCCGAATAAGGGCAGGATCAAGTGTTTCGATTCTATTAGTTGCCATCACAACTTTGACATCACCACGAGAATCAAAACCATCCAATTGGTTAAGTAACTCCAACATGGTTCTTTGGATTTCCCTTTCTCCTCCAGAATTTGAATCATATCTGAGAGATGAATGAAATAGCAATTAGAAAAACTCAAAAAAGAGCAAAACATGTCTGAAGATTAAAGATATTAAAGATGAAGTCTCATTAAGGGTATTTTCTACAGGATGGTTCAGGATGTGAACAGTAGTAAAAATTTGAGTTTAATCATTGAAATCATCTTTAAAATCTCAAGATATAAATTATATAAATTATAAATATAGATTAAGTACCGTTTAGTACCAATAGCATCGATTTCATCAATAAAAACGATGGACGGTGCGTGTTCTTCAGCTACTCTAAATAATTCTCTAACCAATTTTGGTCCATCTCCGAGATATTTTTGAATCAACTCGGACCCAACTACTCTCAAGAAGGTTGCTGATGTTTGATTAGCCACAGCTTTAGCTAAAAGTGTTTTACCGGTACCAGGTGGGCCATAAAGAATGACACCTTTAGGTGGTTTAATACCCATTTCCTCATAGTATTCTGGATGAGTCAAAGGAAGCTCTACTGATTCTTTAATTTCTTGAATTTGCTGATCGAGACCTCCAATATCAGCATAAGTTTCTTGAGGAGCTTTTTCTAACTTCATTACATTGACCATTGGATCTGTATCATCACTGAGGACTCCTACAACAGCATGGACTTTATGATTCAACAAAACTGAGCAATTGGGCTCAAGTTGTTCCTTGTCCACAAAGGATAATATAGACACATAATGTTCACTTCCCACAGAAGTTGATACTATTGCATGATTGTCGTCGATGATTTCTTCAAGATTACCAACTGACATGGGGGTACCTAAACACAAAAAAGATTAGAAAATATTCATTAGTAGTTATGAACAAATACGGTCCTTTTTTTTGTAAGAAAAAAGACTCATAATGGGTAGATGTCATCATATTATTCAGGATGTGAACAGTAGATTAATTTTTTTTAATCATCGGTTAAATTATGGATGATAAAAGTTGAAGTTAAAACTTACCCCGACAATCATCGACTTTATTTCTTTCATCGTTCTCATCTTCATTGTCAATTTTAGTTTGTACTTTTGAATTTTTGAGAAACTCTTCTTCCATTAAAAGCCAATCATGGATCCTTTCCAATTTGAGCAGTTTAAGACGGCATCTAGTATGAGGTGTTACCATAGGTAATTTAGAGGCAGCATCAGGACCCTTGCCTTTCCTTCGCCCACGGCCTCTGGCTGGGGTAGGTAAAGGTCGGTTTCGCTCTTTTTTAGTCTTTTTCCCATCTTTACCTTCTCCTGAATCCCCTCCTTGACCAGATCCAGCACCTCGATTGTTGAAGAGAGATTGGTTCTGACCCTAAAGATAATTAAAATAAAATAAATTGACAATTTTTATAACAAATGATGGAAAACAAAGCCATTATCAAAAGATGGGCTCCATGACTCAGCAAAACCTCCTAACTTTTTGAAAATGACACTAAATTTTTTAAACATTACTTACCATTCCAATAGAAATTTGGAACCAAACTAGCAAATATCACCAACAAGAAGATCCAATCTTCTAATTTGACAAGGTTGAATCACAAATGTTAATCAATAAATTAAGCTAAGTCACTGATTAGAAAAATAGTTGGTGAATTAATCCATTTTGTGGACAGTAATTCACTGCTAAAAAGTATGTCTACCACAACCGGATAATTGGAGGAGGCACATTGCAGCCATCTGTCGGATTCTTAAACATTAGGTTATTTCGCAGCTCATTTAAACTTCTAAGCTATTGTGATTAGTGTGATTATTGAAACAAAACATAAACTAATAGCATGGCACGAAAAAATAAATTCACTGTTTAGGTAATCATCAAGTTTATCAAATTTTCCATCAGCTATGATAAGTAGCATGCAGTAGTTCCTGGATGTTTTTTCAAAAGGTGTTGGAATAGCTGGTGGTTATTTTAACATAGTCAGCCAAAATTTGTTAATCAAAACTTAGAGGGGTTTTAATAGATCAAATTAACGTAATTAAGTTGATTAAGAAAAATAGAATCCTCAATTCCAAAATTGAATCTAGGTAGAAAAGGCACATTTTTCTCAGTGAGTTTTTTCAAAAAGACTACTGTATAGCAAATTGCAAAATATTGCATTGCAAGCAAAATCAAAGGAGATAAATGTTTAATAAAAAGATTAGTTTATTCTGATGTTTTTATGAAATCATCTGTAATATCCAATTGGCCAAAGAAAAGCCCAATGATACAAATTATCAAATTAAGAGAGGTAACAAGAGATTTATCTTCAATTTGTTTATGTTTGGCTCTTATTATGCTGCAAGCTCTAGATAATTCTCGTATCACAGAAACAGTTTCACTATGCAAGGGTATGTCCAAACAAGCAAGTAAAGAGTATATCCAGACAGCTAACTGGTGACACCAACCATACTTTTTAACCCAGCACGTAAGGGTTTCTAAAAAATCAATAACGGCCACTTGCGGGAATTGTAATATAGTTGAAAGTAGTGGACCCTTGCCACCATTAGTTTTGTAAACAACTTTAATTTCCGAATCAGATTCACAATTTTTTTCCTCCGATTCTTCAGCATTGCCCAATATAATTTTCCTCCAGAGCTGCAAATCACGAAAATGAGGAGTTTTTTCTACATCTTTTAAATGTAATCCATTACTGAAGGATTCGCGAGCTTCGGCAACTTTATCTCGAATGCTCTTGAAACATCTAATAGTATCATCTGCCCAGACTTGAGATTGGCATATTTCTGGTTCTGCTTTGATGAATCTTTCTGTTGCAAGTAATCCGTATGATTTAGAATAATTTGAATGACCAGATTTAGGATGTTTGAGTGATTTAGCAATGGTAACATCAGGATAGCTTTTAGCTTCTAACCTGTGTAAATGAAACAAATAAATGCAAATTAGTTATATCAAAAAGGTTTTAAACTTACCAATTAAACTTACTGAACTCTTTTTAAATACTCTTCACCACTTGAAGGAGGAACAGAAGGATCAAAATTCGTAATATTAGAGACCGGCAAAGCAGTCGGCTGAGCTAAATTATCATGTTCTCCGTCACTTTCATCCATAATGAAACCAAACAGTTATGATGGTTGACTAGTGGAAACACATAAACAACAAAATCGAGTTTAACAGAGCAAATTGTTTGTGAAGTCTAACAAAATGAAAAAAGTAAATTGTAAATGAAAATATATCAAATTTATTGAAAATTTTGCCAAAAAATTGTTTCCATAGGATGGCGCCTCACTCAACTTTAATTTATTGAACACATGTTTTAGCCGCTAACTTCAATTTTTTCCTCTTGATTTTTTATTTTATTTTTGTTGTTGTTATTAATTTTGTTTAATTTATTCATCTATATTTTTCACCATGAATTCAAATCACGTCGGTGGAAAATCTCACGCTAATCATGCCTCATCTGAATCACTATCATCAACATCATTATTGACCATTCATCAGTACCGGAGTAAGTTAATGGATATAATTGACACCGAACCAATTTTTGTGCTGATTGGTGCCACTGGTTCGGGAAAAACAACGCAACTACCTCAATGGTGTTTACAATCGAAACATTCCGTTGGTGAATCAGGTGAGTTAATACAATGTAAAAACAACCTTTTGTTAACCATCAATTCTAATTCATTTTAATTCATTTTACTCCATTCTGACAATTCTTTCATTTCATTCACAGAAGGATCATTAACAAGCAAATGCCGGGTCGTCGGGATTACACAACCCAGACGTGTTGCTGCAGTCTCTATTGCTACAAGAGTTGCCAACGAAATGAAAACAAACTTGGGCCAGTTGGTGGGTTATTCAGTTAGATTTGATGAAGTGCTTTCACCAGCGACTAGAATCAAATTTATGACTGATGGAATGCTGTTAAGGGAATCACTCTATGACCCTTTACTTAGAAAATATTCATTTATCATTCTCGATGAAGCCCATGAAAGATCGATTCAAACCGATATTCTGTTCGCTATTGTCAAGAAAGCTTTTCATGCTCGCAAAAAGAATGGTCTCTCATCTCTTAGAGTTGTAATCATGTCTGCCACAATGAATGTTGATAAATTTTCTAACTATTTTGATCAATGTCCTGTTTTTAAAATTGCTGGTCGTCATCACCCAATCGAGGTAAATCATCTGTATAAATTTTACATGTTTCTTAATCTAATATTTGTTTTTTATTTGATTATTTCAGATTTTGCATGCTGAACAAGATTTAACTGATACTATTCATGCCTCTTTAGTTACTGTATTTCAAATCCATAGGACTCAACCAACTGGGTTAGTATCATTAATCAAAAAATCTAATTATTTTTCTCATGAGTTGTAATTATAACTTTCTATTGCAGAGATATTCTTGTTTTTTGCACTGGTCAAGAGGAAATTGAAAATATGGTCTCTGTTACTAGAGAAACTTGTTTCCAACTGCCTCAAGGTATTTGCTGTTGCTTTGATTTGATTTTGGGGAAAATTGAATCTAAATTTCATGAGTTTATTCTAATTTCATTAATCTTTCAGAACAAAGAAACCTCGTTCCACTTCCATTATATGCTGCGTTGCCTTTTAATGCTCAATTCAAAATATTCAAATCGTTCTCGGTGGGTTTTGATTCATCATATTTCAGAGCTGATTTTGCTTACTTTTCATTAATTTGAATTTTCATCTTTTTATATACCAGGGGAAAAGGAAGGTCATTTTCGCTACTAACATAGCTGAAACATCAATCACTATATCAGGAATCAAGTATGTTGTAGATTGTGGCAAATTTAAATGTCGAAGGTACAAACCATCTTCGGGAATGGATACACTCAAGATTGAGACAATTTCTCAAGCTCAAGCCTGGCAAAGGGCTGGTAGAGCTGGAAGAGAATCAAGGTTTGTTTAAATTTGGTGATACAAGATTCATTACTTTTCATCATCAATCTTGCTACCTTGTTACCTTTTTACCTTCCTTTAAGCTGAACTTTCCCATGATAATTATGTTTTTTTATTTCTTTTTTTTCTAGTGGAATCTGTTACAGACTTTATTCTAGGGAAACTTACGAAAATATGCCCAAGGAAATGGTTCCTGAAATGCTCAGGTGTAATCTTGCTTCCGTTTTGCTACATTTAGCTGCCATAGGAATCAAAGATTTTACTAAATTTGATTTTATGGACAAACCGTCGATTGAGGTAATTTATTAAGTAAATATTGGCTCTTGTTTCAAGAAAATTCTTAATCAATCACCAAGCCATCAACTAATTCAGCCTAGTCATCAGAATGACCTTAAATCTGTGCTATTATTTATTATTTGCTTCATGGTCATAAGAAATAAGTCTAAATCAATGTCCATTATTCAGTAACTATAATTTCTCTTCATCATTTCTAGAAATCTTTATGTTCTATGTTTTACCTCTTTTTTTCTTGCTTTTTTATATTACATTATGTCCTTGAGAGACTTATTTCATGAGGATTGAAAAAGAGGGGGATCTTTTTTTCTCAATGAACAATTGATGTTTCGATCAATTAATGTACAAATTGATGTCAACGTCTAATCAACCAAATCAGGCCATACCCATGGTATCATTTCCCAACTTTATTACATTGCATTATTAACCGTCTGATTCTTTACCCAATCTTAACGTTGCCGACAGATTTGACATGATTGAGATGGAAATAGCTTAAAAACTATAACCATAATTGATTAAAATTTACTCAAGCTGAACATTTCATTTATAACTAATCATTATTATGATTATTACTATTATTACTCTTTAATGGTTTTTTATTCTCATATTTGTTTTATAGTTTACCAGAGTACAGCAATTTTACTTTATCATACATTCATATTCAATCCATCCACCCAAGTCCTTGATAAAGGTCACAAACTGCTGATGTATTGATAGACCATTTAAATTTACACTTTCATTTATTAATTTCACTTTTTTCTCTTTTAAATTACAGAATGTAAATAAATCAACCGAGCTTCTCATTAGTCTTGGAGCCATCACTAAAGATGAAAATAACTGGTATCAGGTAAATCTTCAGACAATCATCATTTCTACCAATTAAGTCCGTCTAAATCTAATCCGCTGATTACTGTATTTACAAAGATAACTCATTTGGGTAGACAAATGGTCAACTTTCCATTAGATCCTAGGCTGGCCAAAATACTCATTGCATCTGCTGAACTTGGATGTAGGTCAGTAAGATTAGTTGATCAATCGATTTGGTTATTTGTTTCTCTTTCCATTTAATTTACTAAAGTCAATTATTGTTTCTTTTTACATGATAGCGAAGAGATTCTCAGTGTAATATCGCTTCTTTCCGTGGAAAATGTGTTTCATATTCCACCGCACAAGGTATGAATTGCATATTTTTTTCATTCTCCCATCTCTCAACCTTGTTACATTGTAATCATTTTTGATTACTAGATTATTTTAAATGGTTATTTCTCCCTTCTAATTGTATTATTTTTTTCCATCATATTTTATTCAGAAAGAGGAAGCTAATGAAGTTCATAAAAAGTTTCGATCGACTGAAGGAGATCATGTAATGCTATTAAAGTTGTACCGAGCTTATAAAGCAGCTAAAGGCAACAAGGTTGGTTAACAATGATGTCTACCAGAGTTAATCAAAACTCAACCATTCCAGTGCATTATTTGAAAAGGAAACAGGAAAAGGAATAATTCAGAGAAAAGTAGAAGGAGACGAATGAAGAAGAAAAAAGCTAATCGTGATGATTAAAGAAAAGATTTATCATAATCATAATTTTTACATTGATTGACGACTGACTATTGATCAATTGTTGTCTTTCCATTATTTCCTATTTTCGCTTCTTCTACTTTCCCAGATCCTTTTTTTATCCATCAATTTAATCTTAATTGTCATTGTTGTATTCCCATAAATTTGTTAGGAATGGTGTAAAGAAAATTACATTGATTTTCGTAATATGCGGATGGTGGCAAATATAAGACAACAAATGGCTGCTTTGTACGAGCGAACCAACTTTACCAAAAATTCTTGTGGAGCCAACACGGAATTGGTTCGTAAATGCATTACCGTCGGTTTATATCATAATCTTGCAGTTATTGGCAAAGAAGGTGAATATCGAACGGTAAGTTGGCGCTTTTTATTCAACTCTTGACCGCGACTTTTGTTGATTAATCCAATGTTAATTAATGAAAACCCGCAATAAAATTTCTAGATATTTAATTATTGCGAAATTCATCTATTTAATAGTTGATAGTAATAGTTAAAGGGGAAAAAGAAAAGGTTTCAATTATTTTTCAATGGAAGTAAATACAAGCAAAAAACATTTTTAAAACATGCGACTGGATTGTTATGTATATTTGAATGGAATAAGTTGGTAGTGTCTGATTTTTTGTTGAAAGTGAACCAATTTTGAATGAATGAACCAAGAATAAGAGGAAAAAAAGATTAAGGTGAAGTTTTGTTTTTATGTGTTTAAATTTGTTTCGTCTCTATACAATAAGGAGTTGTTGGTTTGTTTATTTGCTTATCACAATTGAATTTTACCAACACTAATTGTAATAATAATTTTGTATCTTTTGTATAATTATAAATCATATTATACTGAATTTAGTTTTGTAAACGAAGAAACACAGAAGAAAAGAATTGAGACAGAAAAAAAGGTTCAATTGGGTAACAAGTAAAAGGTATTTTAGATTTGATTCATGTTTAAACCATTTAAACAGAATGCTGATTGTTACCCATTTTGAGGTTTTTTTTCTTTTCCAGGGAAAAAGTTTCAGAAGATTAAAGGATGAGAAAGAGACATAGAGAGATAGAAAGAGAAATTTAATGAGCACAAGAGAGAAACAATGAATTTATGATTAGACACATTCATTTTACTCTTGCAGCTCATCTGTGTTCTTGCTACCTTTTCAAAATCTATCAGTCTTCATGTTCATTATTTCTCTTCATGCAATGGCAGTTTTATCCGATAATAAAGGAAATAAGGTTGGCAATTTATTCTTACAAATAGTGAGTGAGAGAGAGAGAGAGAGAGAGAGAGACAATAACGATGGTCAATTGTCGTGAAAAAATGCTTATTATCGGTGTATGTTTAAGTGATGTAGGAGTTGATTAAAGGGTGAGATGAAGATGATTTTCTTGTCAGTTAAAACACTTGTTAAGTGCACAGATTTTTTTATGAACATATCATTGAGCCTGTCTAATTAATAGTGAAATTTGTTTAATTTGACTTGTTTAGGGTTAAGAAGATATTGCCTTCTCGAGTCTTGAAGAAAGTTACCAAGTCGTAGAGAGCTTCTTCTTTGCTTTTGCACCGATGTGTTGAACACTTTTTCATCTGACTATCTAATCATGAAAAGAAACACTAATAATTCACTTGATTGCAAAATAAAGTGATGAGATTCTTGATGAGAGAGGACAGTTGATGAGAGAATAAGATGGAAGTTTTGTCAGTTTTTTGCCTTTCTCTCTGAAATTAAATGTTTAGTTTGTTTAACCTGTGTGTGTGTTTTAAACAACATGGAACTAACTTCAAAACAAGAGAAGCAAAAGAAGGTACAGGGAAAGCGTTTCTTTTTTTGATGATTTGATACTTTTACAAATGGAATTACAGAGACAACACATTGTTGATACACACTTTGAGATTTGTCTGTTTCTTCTGGTTAATATGTGACAATCCAGTTTCCATCTGATCGGTGAAAATAAATTCACGGAAAACTAATTGGTTTATCATTATTTCTTGGCATTATTGTTAATTCTTTTTCTCTTCTTTTTCATGATTGATGTTTTCGCCTCTTCATTTGGATGACAACAATTTGGTTTCCCACTTTTCGACTGGAACATTGGATTATGGTGAATAACAGAAAATGTCGGAAGAAAAGGTTTTTATCCATCCTTCTTCGTGTCTCTTCAATGTTAAACCAGAATATGTTATTTACTCCGAATTGGTACAAACCAGCAAATGTTACATGAGGTTAGTTTCATTTTAAAATGATTTGTGTGATGTTTAAATGCTTTGAATCCTTTGAATAATGTTGATTGTATTTTTAATCACTGATTTATCATTTGTGTGTGTAATGTGTGGTTTCATGGTTTAGTGTTTGATGGTCAAAAATTCATTTAATAACACAATCTTCTGTTCTTTATTTGTTTTTTCTTTTCTCTTCAACAGGAATATCTCTGTAATTGACTACAATTGGTTGAAAGAGTTGAGACTAAAGATACCTTTATCAAAACAACAAAATTAGTCTAAAAGCAATGGATTTATTAAAAAATCAAGATGTTTTTTCCTTCTTCTCAACACATTCACTTTTTCTTCCTCACAACTTTCCAATACTAAACTATTGCCTTCAGACATAAAAATCTGTCATTTTTTTTCTGTTGACTTGAACACTTTTGCAATTAAAACTTCGATCTCGGACTAAAATTTCATTTTATGTTTACGCAATGTTAATTAAAACAAATATATATAAGATGAGTGAAATTAATAATATATATAATATATATACGGCAACTATTTTTCATCTCTTGCGACTCTTGTTGCTTTTAAGTTGGTGGTGGTAGTGATGGTGGTGGTGTTGATTTTTTTTGTTATTTTTGTTAAAACTAATGAAAATGATATCGATGTTATTCTATGGACAGTTCGAAGTGAACACTGCCTTCTCTCTCTAAAAGATTGTGCTTGATATTTTTGGCCCACGCCTTACATTCCACATTGATAACCAAACCATGACTAGGATTGGTGAATTGAACGAACACAAATGGTGATTTATAGTTATCCTGGTTTCGGAACGGGAAATAGTAATCCCTTATGCCTGGTTCAGGGAAAAACTGGATTTGGCCAATATTTTCCTTGTCAATTGGATTTTGGCCTTGGCATGTGATGTAAATGTAACGATTGGACTTATTTTTGTCATAAGCCATCTTCATTACGTCCCTCAATTCTTGAGGTAGAGCAGGATTGTTATAATCTTGTGGATCATAGGTTTGAGGTTTCCAATCAAATATCTATTAGAAAAAAAATCGGAAATAAGACAAATTGTTATTAAATTGTAATGACACAATGAAGTCTCTTAAAAAATAGCAACAACACTTGACAAGAAAGGAAATCGTTAAGTTGAAATGATAACCACCCTTGAGATAGATTATTTGAGAAGTAAAAAACTACAAGATGGAAATGATAGTTATAATAGTCGTGCAATAATCATGGAAATAATGAACTGATGCTTCAAATGGTATACATAGTAGATCATTGATTTAATTAAAAATTATCAACCATCAAATTTGGGTTATTAAGATTGTATGCTTTTGTATATTGAACAATATTCATTCTATATTTACCTAACATGGTTATCATTGAATATCAGAAAATTTTCTGTTGCCTAAAAGATATTTCAAGACTTGATTGATCGAACAAATAACCTTGATGTTTCCTATTACAAAACCAAGCCTATGGAAGCTGGTTTTTAATCAAAATACATACGATTGTTGTAGTATTGTTAAACATTGTTACTAAAACATTAAACAATCAAAATTGACTAGAATTATATTTTGACCAAATACTCATATTGACAAATCATAAGTCAAACCCGTTTTTTACCCAAATTTTGTAAGATATGAAAACAAAGTAGTCATGAAAGGTTTAAGTGATTCATGGCCATAAAATATGTCTAATCACTGAAAAAAGCAGTCTGAGAATACAAAAAATACATCAATAAACGTTTCAAATTAGGGCAGGTTTTAAGGTTAAAAGTCATAATAAGCATTTACGATCGAAATGAATTTTTTTGACATGTAATATGGCAATTTTGTGGAGAGAGAGAGAGGTAAACAGAATGAGATATTTAAGTTTTTAAGAAGTGAGCGATGATGAAAATGATAAAGGAAAACTAAATTCAGATCATCTTAAGCTATTAATAGAGTATAATTCTGATGCCAACATCCTTTTAATATAAAGAACGGAAATGTTGAGTCAACTTTTAACATATCATCCAAACACCAAGTTACCTAAGAGCGTGTGTCTCTGATATTTGTTACTCTCGTTAAGTCTGTCATTTGACAATTAAACTTGACTATCATTTCAATGGTGGATACTTCAATTTTGAGAGAAAAAAAAGGAAGAAAGAAATCAGCAAAAGAATTGAAATATCTAGAAATCTCAATTTCCTTAGATGATCATCATGCTTGAATAGATAGTAATCAAATGAAATCTTACAAGGAGAAAGATATATTAAATAATCAGTTGGAAATGATGGAAATATAAAGAGAAAATAACTCGTTATTTGAATTAATATTAAAAATAGTCAATTTGTCATTGAACAGGAGAAATAAAATGACCTTTACAAGTTCTTGGTTACTCTACGAAGATAGAGAGAAGCAAAAAGGATGAGAAGACACACCATGATGAAGAAAGCGAAGTGTGATGAGCAGTACAGATCTGAAGAAATAAAAGCCATTTGAAAGGTACTTTGAACTGGCGAGTACAACCAGAATGACCTTCATTTTGTCTGGTCCTAACCAGTTTTATTTTGGTGTATGCTCAGAAAAGCTGGTGCAACCAGGGAAGACAACATGAAGAAAAAAGGTTTGCTTTCTCTTTGCTTATGCGTGTTTCATGATTTGTTTTTTTTCCTTCTATTTTCCTACTACTACTTGTTTTAATAATGTAGATTGGTTGAGCATTTAATGAACAAAGGCATTATAACTGACCAGGGGAAGGCAAAGAAAAACAATTTATTGTAAATGTGAATTGAATGGAAATGCATTCTCTTTGCAACTGTTAGACTCAATGACTATCAAGAAATGGTGTTTGATGCAGACAAAATTGAATGTCACAAATGTTGAGTTGAATTTAAAAAGCATTGAAATGCTGTTCTTTAAAATCTTATAAAAACTCTGTTTTTGTTCACTTTTCGAAAAGAAGAAGCCTGTGAAACTGATAGTTCCACCTTTTCTCCTCCTCCTCCCTTTCATCCAAATAAGGCTCTTTTTTTCATTCTACTTTCATTTCACTTTGTATTCTTTAATCTTAATTCAGGCCATCCTGCGGACTATTAAACCTCTCTTCACTACTGTCTGTTTCCAATGTTTCTTTTCTGTCTCCTCTCTTGCTTCTTTTCATCATCATCATCATCATCATCCTCCTCGTCATCTATCTCTTCTTGTACTTCATTCGTGACTCGTCTATCGATCAACAATGATTCAGAAAGCATGTGCAACACAGCTAAGTGAGATTACATGGGAAGGAGAGGAATAAGCAAAATGTTGGTAATGATCATGGTGATGGGGTGTAAAATGAAACGGTTCAAAGTCTCAGTTGCAAGTTAATTTTGATGGAGTAACTGTAAAATAATGTAAAATGTAATTGTAAACTGGGAAATTTACACTCACTTACAAGCTAATCGATTAAGAATGAAAATAATAAATGTTCAAATCAAGATTAGAAAGGAAGATGAAAGTTAATTTTTGTATACTTTTCAAGATGTAAGAAAATGATACGAGATGCAATGATAAGTTAATTGTGATGTTCACTTTCAACAGATTCAACTACAATTAGAGAGACAATTAAGAAATCTCAAGGCGGAGTTGGCAACACCGGAAAGATGATGCGACAATCATAATAAAAATAATAGCAATACATAGATTACGGAGAGGCTTCACCATTCCTATCAAGGATGAATCTAGTTGATTTTCATTCATTTTTTTTCAGGAAAGAAGTGGTTCTGAGGTACAATTTTATGACAAATAAATAAAAAGTAATTGTTGTTATTATTCCATAATAAAATACTTTAACCAGTGAAAGACAATGAAATAAATAAATACAAAGCTATCAAGCACGCCCAAATAAACATCAACTCTTTATAATATCATGTATTTATTTTAATAATAATAGACTGAGAATTTATGTCAACTTAAAGTGAACTTTGAAAAATTATTGATGGAGTTAAAAGTTATGCTTTTTGGTTGAGAAGGAAAAAATTTATCACTGCTCTGAATGTAAAATGATGGGATTTGATTGAATGTTTCAAACGAAAAAGAAAGTTGATTGATCAAAACATTTTTTTCAGAAAACCTTTCATCAAATCAATCACACATTCAACAATTTAACTAAAGGGTGTTAAGGTTTATTTGTTCCAAAATGGAAAAGAGAAAAAACAAACTTACCTTAAGATAAAGATGAAAAGCACCAATGTAATTGAATCTCTATCATCTAATTCATTATCATTGTCATGTTATCATCATTTTCATCTTTATCTTAAGGTAAGCTTGTTTT